TAAAACCAACTTTTCTTACATTTCTTTGCTGTTATTAAAATGCAGTTTTAAAATATTTGGGGTGGGCAAGGATTGCAGCAGAAATTGACTGCCTGCATTGAAGTCTGCCATTACGCAACAGAAAGCGCAGCACAGAATCCTCTGACAGGGCCAGGGTTTTGTTTTCACTGCTCTACACATATTAAAGCGTCACCCCCTTTCCCACTTCTCTTCCTGACTTCCTGCACACAGAGCAGCTTCACATTAGCACATTAAACAATCCAGACTTGACCCCGTATCCTTGACCCCGTTTTCTTACTTTCATTTTCCTTTCCAGTGACTTTTCTATCACAGTCCAGGCTAATTTGAACTTAGCCTGATCTTTCATCCCCCTTCCTCCCCTCCCCTTCCCCTTTTTATGAAGATTACCCGCTCTGAGACCCCACAGCTAATTCTCCCCTGGTCTCCTCGCTGGCCCAAATAGGACTAATTTAGCCAGCTAGCCCTGGTGGTTATCTAATGTTTATTGGATGGATTTTCCCCCTAAATTGATTTTTTAATTCTGAATTTATTGTTATTCACGTTTTATACTGTATTTTATGCTGTTTTTTGTTGCATCAATTAAGTGTTTTAAATTTGTTGTTAGCCGCCCTGAGCCCGGTTTTCTGAACCGGGAAGGGCAGGGTATAAATAAAAATTTATTATTAGTATTTATTATTAACTCCATTATCTAGCTTCTGTTAATACAGACCAGGAACCCTGTTTGTCTTCTAATCATTCATTGAGAAGTGGACTCAGTCCAAAAGCTGCTCTCTTTCTTCCCCAAGGAGGGCTATAACTCAAACAATATTATTAATTATGATGATGATGTTTAAAAATTTGTATACTGTCCTATACCCACAGGTCCCAGTTCACAACATAAAATCACAATATAAAACACAAAATACATAAGAAAAACAAAAACAAGAGCAACCCAGTAGTCCCCCCCCCAACTCATTTTAAAAGGGCATTGGATGCGAGTCAGCCAAAGGCCTGGTTAAAGAGGAATGTTTGCCAGGCGCCTAAAGGTGTATAATGGGTGTGGCAGCTGAATCTCCCTAGGGAGAGCATTCCATAAATGGGGAGCCAGTGCAGAAAAGGCCTGTTTTTGTGTTGCCACCCTCCGGACCTCTCATGGAGGAGGCGCATGAAGAAGGGCTTCAGAAGATGATCTCAGGGTCCAGCTTGGTTTACAGGGAGAGAGGACCATAAAGAAGGCTGATCACCGAAGAACTGATGCTTTTGAATTATGGTGCTGGAGGAGACTCTTGAGAGTCCCATGGACTGCAAGAAGATCAAACCTATCCATTCTTAAGGAAATCAGCCCTGAGCGCTCACTGGAAGGACAGATCCTGAAGCTGAGGCTCCAATACTTTGGCCACCTCATGAGAAGAGAAGACTCCCTGGAAAAGACACTGATGTTGGGAAAGATGGAGGGCACAAGGAGAAGGGGACGACAGAGGAAGAGATGGTTGGACAGTGTTCTCGAAGCTACAAACATGAGCCTGACCAAACTGCGGGAGGCAGTGGAAGACAGGAGTGCCTGGCGTGCTCTGGTCCATGGGGTCACGAAGAGTCGGACACGACTAAACAACAACAAATGCAGCCTTTCTCAACTTTGGGTCCCCACTTGTTGTGGGACTACAACTCCCATCATCCCAGTGGTCAAGGATGTTGGGAGTTGTAGTCCAACAACCCCCCCTTGCTTCTGTATCCAAGAAGTGACCGTCAATGTAACAGTATGTTAACCTGTTGTTTTGGCATTTCAAATTGTTTTATGTGCAAATCGCCTCAAGACAGCGGTTTAAAAGCCGATTAACACACCAGCTGCAATAGCAATAAACAAGAGCAACCGCTCGCCCACCGTCTCGCTGCGTCCCAAAGTCCCACTTTCAGAGAGCAAACCTCCAGTTGCACTTTCACAAGCACCATTTTTGCAAGGCAAAGAGAGACAGGGAGAAGTTGGCGAGGAAGGAGGAAGTGACAGACGCCGTTTCGAAAGGGCGAAGGGAAGAAAGCAATGCAGACGCCGGCTGCTGGCCCTCTACATCCCCATCCATAGCATGCATTGAAAACTAAACTCATTTATCACGGCGTAAAGCTTCGTGGGCTGCTGTCCTGTGTAGTGGTTAAGAGCGGTAGACTCGTAATCTGGGGAACCGGGTTTGCTTCCCCGCTCCTCCACATGCAGCTGCCAGTCACACTTCTCTGAAGTCTCTCAGCCCCACTCACCTCACAGAGTGTTTGTTGTGGGGGAGGAAGGGAAAGGAGAAGGTTAGCTGCTTCAAACTCCTTCCGGTAGTGATAAAGCGGGATATCAAATCCAAATCACAGGTTGAAGGCACCGTCCTCAGTTGCAGGAACACCACTTACAAACCCGGCAGGCAGGAGGGCAGATAATAATAATAAGAAGAAGAATACAGTGGTACCTTGGGTTACATACACTTCAGGTTACAGACTCCGCTAACCCAGAAATAGTGCTTCAGGTTAAGAACTTTGCTTCAGGATGAGAACAGAAATCGTGCTCCGGCAGGGCAGCAGCAGTGGGAGGCCCCATTAGCCAAAGTGGTGCTTCAGGTTAAGAACAGTTTCAGGTTAAGTACGGACCTCTGGAACGAATTAAGTACTTAACCCAAGGTACCACTGTAATTTATTATTTGTACCCTGGCTATCTGGCTGGGTTTCCCCAGCTATTCTGGGCGGCTTCCAACAAAGACCAAAAATACACTAAAATGGTGAAACACAAGCTCAGAGGGATGAACAAATGTAAAAGGGAAGACCGTGACAATTCAGCTGCAATTCACAGAAGCACAGTGACCCTTTGCAGGCAAGAATGATGGGCAATAAAGCTGTAAACTTGGCAATGAAGATAATAAACGTATGCAGGGCAGCAGGGCTGGAAACGTTTGCTCAACAGGTAGTCACCAATCTGTCAATGAAACCCATGGATTCCTCAAACAGGCACCTCCTCAAACACACCTTTTCTTTCAACCAGAGCCGGCCCACTCATTAGCCTGGCTGAGGCAGCTGCCTCGGGCGGCAGTCTGCGGACAGCCAGGAGGGGCGGCAGATCCAGAAAGACAGGGCAATCCTTGAGTGCTGTTTCCTCAAGTCACCTCCAGTGGCTTCTTCAGCAGAGTAGGAATTAACTAAAGTTTAAATAATAATAATAATAATAATATTTATTTATACCCCACCCTCCCCGGCCAGAGCTGGGCTCAGGGCAGCTAACACCAGTAAAATTACAGTAAAAAAAATAATGGGGGGTGGAACCAATTTAAGATACAGGTTAAAATGGAATTTAAAATGCAGCCTCATTTTAATAATAGCCCATAGATCAAAACCATAAGGGGAGGGAAAACATAAGGGTCAGACTGAGTCCAAACCAAAGGCCAGGCGGAACAGCTCTGTCTTACAGGCCCTGAGGAAAGATGTCAAGTCCCGCAGGGCCCTAGTCTCTTGTGATAAGCAGTTGCAACAGACGGGGCGAACCAAGAAAACATGAGAAAAAGAGGAGGCAAAAGGAAGGAAAGGATGGGAAGGTCAGCTGAGGAATGCTTTCTGGTTTTCTGTTTGTTTTTTGGATATCCTAACATTGTTATTTCTTTTCTATTTCAGAGTTGTTGTTTCTTTTGCTTCTTGCGTCATTTCTGTTTATCTCTTTGATATGGAATTGTATCAGAAACATAAATAAAAACAATACAGTCTGGGGTGGCTTCTGCCAATTGGGGATGTCTCGCTCAAAACGGGACAGTTGCGGCATATGGGAGGAGTCGTGGGCGCCATTTTCTGGTTTGCCTCAAACGGCCAAAGGTCCCGAACCAGCCCTGCTCTCAGGGGATGTGTGGTTGTGATTATGCATTAGATGTCCTCTAGTTCCATTTTTAAGCAATGAGGGACTTGGGTTTCCCCCCAAACCTCGCAAGGCACTTCCTAATATAATGGTGAACTGTATCTGCCCCCCTGACAGGAAGGGCACTGCCCCTCTTCTCAGTCTGAAACGTGGGGTTTTTCTTTCTCTTTCCTAAATACTTCCTTCATATTTTCGCAAACCAGGGTTTCCTCCTCTTTCTCTCACACGCACATGCCAAGCATGTCAATATCTGCCTCTTGTTTCCATTTCTGTCAGCTGTCACCACCTGCATCTGCTATTAGTGCGAGTGCCACAGCGTTTGTTATTTTTAACCCGCCTCAGTCAGTAGGTGCTGTACGGTAAGTGCATGCAAAAGGAACAAATTCTTCCCACGGGTTTTCAGCCTGAAAAGGCAAAATGACAGGAGGAAATGGAAAGAGGCGGAAAGGAGGCAAAGGTGGGAGCCGTTGCAAAGAGAGGCACCCTCTTCGTGTGGTGTTGAAATCATAAAATCGTAAAGTCGGAAGGGACCCCGAGGGTCATCTAGTCCAACCTCCGGCAATGCAGGAATCTTGAACCCATGACCCATGAGATTAAGAGTTTTATGCTCTACCGACTGAGCTGATTGCAAGGAGCTGATTTCCATCAGGAGAAGGGGAGCTCTGGGGAGCAGGGGCAGCAAGGAGGGAGGTATGCAATACAGCAGGGGAGTGTCTCTGAACTTGGGGTACATCGGGCATATTTAGAATTTAGAGGGTGTGACATGGACTGCCGGGAGTTGTAGTCAAACACTTCTGGAGGGTGCTATGTTAGCAAAGGCTGGACTAGGAGATTAAGAGAAGCTGCTGAAGAAGAGAAGAAGAAGAGTTTGGATTTGATATCCCGCTTTACCACTACCCGAAGGAGTCTCAAAGCGGCTAACAATCTCCTTTCCCTTCCTCCCCCACAACAAACACTCTGTGAGGTGACTGGGGCTGAGAGACTTCAAAGAAGTGTGACTAGCCCCAGGTCACCCAGCAGCTGCATGTGGAGGAGCGGGGAATCGAACCCGGTTCACCAGATTACTAGTCTACCGCTCTTAACCACTACACCACATAGGTGTACTCCTTGCAGATCAGAAATGTTAGTTAGGGCTGTAGCTCAGTTGTAGAGCATCTGTTTTGCATGCAGAAGACTCCAGGTTCAATCCCAGGCATCTCTGGGTAGGGCTGGGAGAATGACAGCTCACTCATCATCAAAGCAGTGGGCGGGGTTTGTGACCTGTGCATAGCTGTCAACTTTTCCCTTTTCTTGCAAGGAATCCTTTGACAGTTATGGACCTGTGCCTGGGCGATACCCCCTTTGCTTGCTGGCCGTCGCCCCTCCCCCTCCCCAGTTGCCCAATCAGCTGCCGGCTGGGGGGCGGAGCAAGGGCCAGGTAGGGCAGACTCCAGTCGACCATCTCTTCAGTCGGTCCTTTTCTGAGAATTGCTTTGGGGCAGGCCAAGATGTTGGGGGCAGGACAATGAAGGTCGCAACAGTAGGAAGTGAAATGCAAGCCCCCTCAGAGCACTTGAGGATATACTGTTATGTACTGAAGTTCTCACCCTGGGCCAGCAGGGGGATACTGTAGATAGTTTTCACTCAGGTCCATATATGCAAATAAGGAATCGAAAGTGACGTTCAGTGATTGGATAGTTACAGTTACAGGATAGTTACTGTTGCTGTCAGGGGTTCAGGGACAGAGGCACAGGGTAGGGAGGAGATGGAGAGCGATGGGGATGAATCCCAGGACAGCGAGGAAGAGGATGACAATGACTCAAGAGATTCCATGAGTCTTTCCAGTGAATCAGAGGATTCCCAGAAGGGGGCGCCAGTGGTCAAGGCCAGGGAGCCCCAGGGGGGACGTGTCAGGAACAGGGGGCCAGCAGGGGATCCCAAAGTGGCAGCTGGGCGTCAGGACCAGCCTCCCCGCCAGAGTGCAGCGAAGGGGGTGGAGGTTCCAGTGTATCAGGGAAGCAGCTCCGGCAGCAGAGAAGGGAGGGAGGTCGGAGCAAGCCACCCTCCCGGAAGGGGAGGGAGTAGTGAAGGGAGTAGTGTAACTGTCAAAAGGAAAGTTAGAGGTTGGGCGCGCGCCATGTTCACATGTAGTGGCGCGCGTTAGTTCAGGGATCCCGGAAGACGAGCCAGGTCCTAAAGCCCGCAGGAAGGGGGAAGAGCAGTCGGGGGATAGCGCGTCAGGGGAATCCAGGAGGGGCGAAACCCCAGCGGGCAGGAAGACCCTGAGGAAAAGGAAAGAGAGAAAGAGGTGGAGCAGCGCAAGGCTCTTAAACTGGTGCAGGGGAGGGACTGACTCAGAGGGGACTTCAACGGTCTAAGCGTACAGACGTGGGGCTGCGCGCCTCGGATATGAAGCAAACAATGAACTGCAATAAACACTTTTGTATATAAGAAGAGATTGGCGTTGGTCTTTTGTGAGCTGAGACCTGAGGCAGCCTTGACAGTTGCGTTCTACTGAAGTTCTATATAAGCAGGCTGGCTGAACCCTTCATTTCAGTTCTGTTCTGGCCTGTGAATAAACAAGAGCTGTTTGAAGAATCACTGTGTTGTCTGATATGTTCACCCACAACTTAACATATACAGAGTTTGTATCCCAAGGATCCACACTTGGCAGCTTCCCCCTGATGTTTCTGGCCAGTTTTACCAGTTCCTGCTTCTTCCAGAGAATTCTGGGAACTGGAGTTTTGTAAAGGGTGCTGCAAGTTGAAAGGAGACTCCCCTGTTCCCCTCCCAGAGGCATAATTCCCAGAGTTCCCTGGGAAGAGGGATTGGTTTAAACAGAGAGTCCAGATGGTTAGCCTTGAAGAGGTTCTCTCCCGCTGTGTGATCCTAAACTCTGGGAGTCAAGGTCCGTTGTCTCTCTTTGCTACTATGTAAATATGCAGGATGTGAAATGGTACAAGTGATTTTTTTGTGTGTCCAATTGCTGCGTCCTTCATCTTTCGCTGTTCCCCTGGTCTGTATCCTTTTCTGAATTCCTGGCTTTGTAAATCCATTGAGGCACCACCTGCATTGTACATTTACAGTGGTACCTCAGGTTACATACGCTTCAGGTTACATACGCTTCAGGTTACAGACTCCGCTAACCCAGAAATAGTAGCTCATGTTAAGAACTTTGCTTCAGGATGAGAACAGAAATCGTGTTCCGGCGGCGCGGCGGCAGCAGGAGGCCCCATTAGCTAAAGTGGTGCTTCAGGTTAAGAACAGTTTCAGGTTAAGAACGAATTAAGTACTTAACCTGAGGTACCACTGTATAGCAGTATTATACCACTTTAAATGGTCATGACTTCCTCCCCAAAAATCCTGGAAACTGTGGTTTGTTTGGGCTGCTGAGAGTTGTTAGGAGACCACCCCGTTCCCCTCACAGAGCAATGATTCTCAAAGTGGTTGAGTATACCTGAAGGAGCATCTCCACCCCCATCGTTCTGCCCGGACACTGAGGTCCAGCGCTGAGGGCCTTCTGGCGGTTCCCTCACTGCGAGAAGCCAAGTTTCAGGGAGCCAGGCAGAGGGCCTTCTTGGTGGTGGCGCCTGCCCTGTGGAACACCCTCCCATCAGATGTCAAAGAGATAAACAACTACCTGATATTTAGAAGACATCTGAAGGCAGCCCTGTTCAGGGAAGTTTTTAATGTGTGACATTTTAATGTATTTTTAATCTTTGTTAGAAGCCGCCCAGAGTGGCAGGGGAAACCCAGCCAGATGGGCAGGGTACAAATAATAAATTATTATTTATTATTATTATCAGTTCATAAGGGAGGGGGAGAGAAAACCCTCCAAAATCCACAGTTAGACAATAACTTAGTATCAACCAAACGGCTGTTTGGTTGGGATTGGACTGCTTGCCACTATGGTACACCAGCTTAGAGAGCAGGAGAGAAATAAGATTCTAAAGCAAATGGAACAGAATCGGAACAGAATTGTTCCTATTAGGATAGCTAGAAGGAAAATGCCAGTATTCACTGTATAAATTTAGTGCATCCCAGAAATGCATTTATCAAATAAGATAATAGTTGCAAGTCAGAGAAGGAGGTTGGCATTGGCTAATTAAAAAAAAAAGATATATACCGCTATTCCAGCTTGCGTGACCCGAGAGGCTCTTCATTACTAATCACAGAAACTTTTGGCCTATCTCTGGACAATTCGACGGTGCAAGGGAAGCACTCTGCACTCTGCACATGCTCATGACCATTACAACAACTGATGAGCCAAGGCCATATCCTGGTATTCTGAACAAAGGGAATGTGAAGAGCTCCACAAAAAATCTCTCAAAACAGGCTGAAAGGGCTTTAAAATAGCAAATGAAATTCAGCGTAAGCAAATGTAATTAGGGAGAGAGAAAAACCACCTCTAACTTGATAGATATGCTAGCAAGCTCTGAAATAGTGGTGGCTGACCAGAAAAGAATCATAGAATCATAGAATCATAGAGTTGGAAGAGACCACAAGGGCCATCGAGTCCAATCTTCTTTCTTGTAGTTTGGATCCATTGCTCCGTGTCCGCTTCTCTGGAGCAGCAGAAAACAACCTTTCTCCCTCCTCTATGTGACATCCTTTTATATATTTGAACATGGCTATCATATCACCCCTTAACCTCCTCTTCTCCAGGCTAAACATGCCCAGCTCCCTTAGCCGTTCCTCATAAGGCATCGTTTCCAGGCCTTTGACCATTTTGGTTGCCCTCCTCTGGACACGTTCCAGTTTGTCAGTGTCCTTCTTGAACTGTGGTGCCCAGAACTGGACACAGTACTCCAGGTGAGGTCTGACCAGAGCAGAATGCAGTGGCACTATTACTTCCCTTGATCTAGATGCTATACTCCTATTGATGCAAAAGAGACCTTGGGGTCATACCAGGCACCTTAAATAAAGTGCCAAGCCAGTGTGCAGCAGCTGTAGATAAGAAAACTCCTTTTTTATGAATAATTAGGAATGGGCAGGAACATAAAATGCAAATCTATGATATAACCACAGTTCTGGTCACTGTGCCTCTAAATGGATATTGTAGAGCTTAAAAAGATTCCAAAATCAGCAACCGAAATGATCAAGAAGGGACTGGAGCAACTCCCCTATGAGGAAGGATTACAACATCTGGGACTTGGTGGTTTTTTAAAAGCTGAGCAAAAGGCAGGGAAGACACAAGAGGAGTCTATAAAATTATGAATGGTGTGAAGAAAGTAGATACGTTTTTTTCTCACTCTCTATAACTTTAGAACTTGGGAACGGTCCCATGCAACAGAATGGAGAATAGCTTTCCTCCCTCTTGCATAACTGAGGAACTCATTGAAATCCAAAGAAGTTGAATGTCGGAAGATCAAGGGCAGACCAGAGGACCTTTTGCACCCAGCACACAGTTAAATAAACCATGGAATTCAATCCCTCAAGAAGAAGAGAAGAGTTTGGACTTGATATCCCGCCTTTCACTCCTGTATAGGCCAAGGGAGCTGGCGTACAGCTTCCGGGTCATGTGGCCAACATGACTAAGCTGCTTCTGGCGAACCAGAGCAGCGCACGGAAACGCCGTTTACCTTCCCGCCAGAGCGGTACCTATTCATCTACTTGCACTTTGACGTGCTTTCGAACTGCTAGGTTGGCAGGAGCAGGGACCGAGCAACGGGAGCTCACCCCGTCGTGGGGATTTGAACCGCCGACCTTCTGATCAGCAAGTCCTAGGCTCTGTGGTTTAACCCACAGCGCCACCCGCGTCCCTTTCACTCCCCTTAAGGAGTCTCAAAGCAGTTAACAATCTCCTTTTCCCTTCCTCCCCCACAACAAACACTCTGTGAGGTGAGTGAGGCTGAGATACTTCAGAGAAGTGTGACTAGCCCAAGCTCACCCAGCAGCTGCATGTGGAGGAGCGGGGAAGCGAACCCGGTTCACCAGATTACGAGTCCACCGCTCTTAACCACTACACCATGATGGCTCCCAAGCTATCTCTCAAGAGGCGACAGTGACCACCGACAATGGATGGTTAGGCAAATTCATGGAGAAGGCTAAAAATGGCTAAGTTCCGCCTCTTGCTCCAAAGGCATTGTGCCTCTCAATATCAGTTGCCTGGAATTGTGAATGCTGTTGCACTGAGGTCTGCCATGCAGGCTTTCCACTGGCTGGCCACTGGGAGAACAGGATCAGCATCTGGACTGGCACACCTCTCTGTTGAGAGCCTGG